AAAAGGGTTAAAAATGTGTAGGAAAGACGTTTGAGTAAAATAGGGTAGACAACTCTTAGTTACTTGATCAAAACTTGCAAAGCATCCTTGCTATTTTCAAACACACCTCACAACACAATTTTAAAACATTTCCGAAAAACAAACTTTCAAACAATCAAACATTGAAAAATCTTTTCAAAAGACAATACACCTTTGTATATATTCAAATAAGAATCATTACAAAGGTTGCCACAACGATGGCCTCTTTTCAAAACATTTTCAAAACCACACACAAAGCACCATTTCAAATAATTGAAAAGCAAAAGCAAGTGATCTAAACAAGTAACTAAGAGCCCATGGAAAACCATGGATGAAAAGGGTGCTAGCACCTTCCCTTTTTATAATCTACCCCCCGAACCCAAGAAAACATCTCAAAGGTCTTTCCTGTGCTTTTTGACCTTTCCTTTGGATAAAATAAAAAGTCGGTGGCGACTCTTGCTAAACCGAAACATTTGCAAACACAAACGCAAAACCTCGAGTCAGTTCTCCCACCGTATCACAATGTGTGACAGGGGGAGTTTGGTCCTGTCTGTGATGTTAGACCTCATGTCTGGACATCTATCTTCTAGATTATTGAAGATGGTGTAACTGCATGCATTCTCTGATATATGTTTTTGTTGCAGTTTGTACAAAGTTTACATGTTTGCATGTATCTTGTGTTGTAGTTTTGTTCCTCTCTTCAGGGTTATTGTGCGTTGGTTGTTTTAGCCAAAATTTGCCAAAGGTGGGAGATTATTAAATCCGTAGTTTTAGGTTTGACCTAAATTTTGCTAAAACATGGTTCTGAATTGATGTTGAGCAAGATGTCACAACATCTTGACCAACTATCATGACAAGTTTTGTTGTCATATGTATCAGACAGATGTTGAGCCAGATGTCTTGACATCTTGACCTATTATGCACCAGGAACTGCTGTTTTAATCTCTTGACAGATTTAACTTTTTTTTAGAGATCCTTTTGTATATATCTCATCATTTTTAGCAGGTCAAAGAGATTTATTAGGAACAAGTGCAAATTTGATTTGTTTCATTAAAAAGGATCTTGGAGAATTTTTAGGAAACTTTAAAAGATTTCTTCCTATTTTTATGTGATGATCTTGCAGCTGATTTAAAAATTGAAGATTTAATTTAATTTGAAGAGTCCAAGCACATACTGCAAGAGTCTATAAATAACGAATTGCTAAACCTAAAATAACAAGCATCACATTGAAGAAACTGTGGGTGCAACATAAGAATTAGGATTTTGGGAGTCTTTTAAGTTCTTTGTGTTTTGTTCTTTGTATGTCACTCATGTATCTTTTGATGCATTGAGGTTGACTGACTGTTACTTGATTTTATATCAAGAAATTATTCTCACTCATAAGCTTTTAAGCAAAGAGTTGAGTATTTTTCTTAGTTGAATCTCTTAAGTAAAACTAAGTATTGTTTATTTGAAGAGTAATATTTTATTTGGGTTTTGATTCTAGTCACTGGGATTGCGACTGTAGATATCACTGAGGTGATTCGAAGTGAGAGGGGGTTCTCATATCTAGGAGGTTCCTATGTAGAAGTTGCACAAGGTAGTGACTATGAGAGAAGTTGTAAAGTGGGATTGTTTAGGCTTTAAACTAATATTATCATAGTGGATTTCCTTCCTGGCTTGGTAGCCCTCAGAGTAGGTGACATTAACTGGGTTAACAATTGATTGTGTTGTTTAATTTTCTGCAACATATTTTTCCTGCACAATCTTCTACTTTTTCTATCAACAGATGATATCATAACACCTGTCTTGACATTGTATTGGTGTTAGGACATTAGTCTTGACATATGTATTGCAAGTGCCGAAATTTCAATAATGATCAAAGAATATACATATGATTCACCAGATTTCATTCAATCCCAACACAAGAAAAGGGTTTATCTATCCATTATCATGGTAGCTTGACAAATCATGAAGGAATTTAGATGAATCAACATCAAACGTGATTTCCTGACTATCTGATGCGTGCCCAGCTCGTATCCTTCACTTGTTCTCTTTTCTCCCTATCTCTGGTTCTTATGTCTGAAAGGAGTAGTGTGAGATGGAGGATTAAATTGTAATTATCGGGTTCACTTGATCGTGCTCTGATAAAGGGGAGAGAAGAAGATTGGATCAATATCATACTTAGGATTTGGATTGTTGGATCGCAACTTATTCTCTTGTAAATAATATTTTGCAAAGGTTAATTTTCATTATCTCAATTTCGGGAAAAAATTGGGGACAAATGTACCTATAGCAAGGCTGATTGGGGAACTGCCTAAACAAATTTTTATGTGTGTGTGTCTCCATCTCCCTCTCTTTTATCATTACTTCAAATTATTAAACCGTTGATTGTGTGATCGATATATCGAGATAATTTCCTTGGTTATTAATTCAAATTGTTATGTTGATTTGATTATAATATATGTGATTTTAATTGGTATCTAAATCAACAACATCGTACAAAAATCTGGTTTGTATGGATTGCACACTAAGTATTCGATAGTTTGCTTAGCATTGTTTTTTGTTATAATTTCATTGGAAATAGGTTGTCGTTGTGATCATATTCAAACATGTAATTGTGAAAATATATTGACTTAGTGTCTTATCACTTTCATAATATCTCATATTGGTTTTATCTGGGCTTTATGATAACGGTCCGGATTAGACGATAGTTAATCCGGGCGTTTTCTGCTTGTCATAGTTAACAAGCTTTTTAAAACTAATTTTTCAATTTTTTTTTTAACTTGGGATCTATTCAACCACCTCTAGATAAGTTGCTTTCGTCTAACATTTTCTTTATTGATGGCGCCCTTGCTGCCACATCATGGCAAGCGCCGTGGTGAGTGCCATGACATCACAAACTTAATATTTCTTCCGATTTTCACCGTTTTGTTCCGTTTTCTCGTACGAAAGCTCCTATATGTTAAATACTTGAAATAAACACAAAATAATAGTATAAAATAATAAAAAGGACATAGAACAACATAAAATGTTATGTGAGTCGAGTAGAAAATGTGATGTGTTTTGTAATTATCAAGCTCCCCACATTTGAACCTTTGGTTGTCCTTAAGCAAGTTGCTAGCATATGAAAACTGTGTAAGTGCATAAATGAAGTATAAATATTTTGGTAAACACAACATCATTTTGAGTCGTACGTGGTTGCTAATTTGGTTTGGCTAAAGCTAAATCGAGAGATACTAGTGTCAACATCTAGAATATCACAAAGACATAATTTTGCATTTCGCAGTCAAAAGTCTCCCTCCTATGCAAACCAATCTGAATCATGCTATTATGTCGCAACCTAAATATTTTTTTTGGGAGTGTGGGTGTACTGGGGGTCGTAGGGGTGATTAAAGGTAAATTATTTGTTGTAATAATTTTCACACAGTATTATTCTTTGATTGTTATCTGATAACGGTTGTGATTTTTTCTCCGATTTTAAAATTTTCACATTATATCTTTTTGTTGTTATTGTGTTCCTCGAATCCTCGTTTTGTTTATGTGTTTGTTTTTTCCCAAGTAATTTATGTGTGTGTTATTTGACATCGTATATCAATCGTATAAGAATGTCTCTATCTCTCTCATACTTTTTTATTTCATATACTTGCACGAATTTCAATAATACACGATTAATATACCTATAAATTACATTTGAAACATTTTTAACACTCAAATTTAAATGTTAAAATATCATTTCTCTTCTCTATAAGATACATCGAAACATTTTGTTTCTAGTCTTAAGGGGGCGTTTGTTTTATGGGTTGTTAGTTTATTCCCAGAAATGTAAACTGAAACATTTTTTATACCAATATTTGTTTCAAGTTATAAAAAATTATATCTAGGAACTTCTTATTTCCAAGAACTTATTTTATACATAGTTTTGTCACTTTCTATTCTCATATTATAGGGTGAGAATCTTTTATTCCGATGAGAATAAAAATCACCTATGATTTCCATTATCAAATATTCTAATTTATTTAGTATTTATTTTAAATTTTAAAATAAATATATTTTATGAATATTCATAAAAAAATGAAGATATTCACCAAATATATAAATAAAAATAATATTCTCAATAATAATATTTTCAAAAATAACATTCCCAAAACTAAAATTTTAATCCTTAAAATAAACACACGCTAAAAACTTGTTTGACCTTAAATTTGCATGTCTGTTATTGAGTTCTTTTATTTTTAAATGTGAATAAAAAGTTTGAGATCGAAAACCAACTAATACAATTATTACACCAAATTAAAATTAAAATCCTATCTTGATTTAAAATTAAAATCATATATATATATATATATATATATATATATATATATATATATATATATATATATATATATATATATATATATATATATATATATATATATATATATATATATATATATATATATATATATATATATATATATATATATATATATATATATAAAATAGCGTTCTAGATATACGTATCTTATGGATTAAAGAAAATCCAGGACACAAATAAAACTACACAATTAATTCCGCAATAACTACTGTATCACGAATTGCGTAAATAAAAATTAAAAATTAAAAATATACATCTACTTAGGGATTGCCGAAGCATCATGGATGTATGTTTCAAATTTAACAATTAAATTTTCAGAAAAGTCTTTAGAAAATGGTTATACCTATATTTATTAACTGTTTGAAAAAAAATTATTCTTAAAAATAAAAGTTTTAAGAAATAAAATAATTTTAAATAATTTTTATAATTTTAATAATTTTATTTTTGTATAAGAAGGTGAAAATATTCATTCCCATAAAATTTTATATAATTTTTTTATAAAAATATATAATTATTAATTTTTTAAAAAATATCAAATAATATACTAAACACATTTTTTTTAAAATACTTTGAAATCAAACTTTCTTATTTTTTATTTCCAGATAATTTATTTTTAAGAATTTCTTTCAAATCCTTGAACCAAATGCATCTTAGGTGTACATGAATTGAAAAAAAGTTAAATAATTTTATTATTATTAATTTTTTGTTTTGAGGAATTATTACTTTTCCCTTTTTCTACTTACCGTGTGTTTAAAGAAACGGCGACGTTTGCACAGAATAAACCGTTTGTTACTGCTTAACTCCGTAACACGCCGCAACGTCGTTTGTAAACGGAGTTTAGAGTTTAACGGAAAGAAAAACAATAGAAAGCAGATAAAAATGGATGGCGAAAACACAGAGCAGAGAGAAAGCATATAAAAACATCTTTCATCTCAATTATCAGTTCTCAAACTTCACAGATACAGCAGAAAGAAGAAAAAAAAGGTCCAACCTGAGACCTCATCTGCAGGGCTCGTTTTCAGAGTAACAAAAGAATCCATAGAGAAAGTAGTTCAAAGAAAAAGCAAGATATCTCAATTCTCACTTTTCTCGCTCAACACTTCAATTCCTCAGTTATCATTGCGGTAATTCACTGATTCCTTCAATTTCATGTTTCTCGGTGAAAATTCGCACGCACTCGCTTCTCGTTGTTGGATCTTTAACTATGCTGAATTTTTTAGAGTTTGGTGTTTTTTCGAGCCGAATTATGCTTATATGAGTTTTATTTTTTTAGTCTAATTAGAACTGAAAACGTGTACAATTTTGGAAGATGAATTGTGTTATGATTCTTTGTGTGTAATGTCTGATTTCAGATTCTGTAGAATCGTTGACAGGACGCTTTGTGGTTGATGATTTTGGAGGCAAATAGTTTTGTTCAGTGAACTTGTGATTCATGAAAGTTTGATTTGATATACGTATAAACGACAATTCGTAGATGATTTAGACGAAAACTCGATCCTGTAAGCTCGTGATTTGGCGATTAAGGACTTCGTGCTTGAAAGTATAGTTAACTGAACGAATGCGTCTCCGATCTTCGACCTATTGAGGATATAAAGATTAACAAAGAGAATTGTGGTTTCTATTAAATTCGGATCTGAGAAGTTTATATATACCGATCGAAGCAGCAAATTCTTCATCTCTATTTTGATTTCAGGGTTCAAATATAATTTAGTTACACAAAGCGGTAATAGAATTGTGTTCTATGAAATTTGAATTTAGGGAAGACTGAATTTCAAAATTCCGTTGAATTAAGTACCAGAGAAGAAGCGTGAGATCCAGGTTTTGATGGAGCTTCCTCAATCTCGTCCATGTGGAGCCGAAGGTAGTTGATTTTTTTTTATTTTTGAAAAAAAAGAAAAAATTTATTTTTATTAATATTTTTTGGATTAGATTTTGTGATTTATTTTTTCTATGTGGAACAGAAGCAGGGAGAAAACCGACGCATGATTTTCTATCGTTATATAGTAATTCAACTGCCGAACAAGATCCAAGATCATCTGTTCAAGGTACGAATTTTTGTTTTTAATTTTTGATAATTATTATGCAAAATGATTTGATGTGAGGGATTTTACCTTTCTCTGTTTTTGTCATGTTTTTCTCTGAAGTGGGGATCATGCTGTATAAATTTTACATCACGGTCAATTTTTTCTAAATAATTCAACTGTAAATAAAAGTAGTTATATATCATGGTTGCTCGTGCACGTGACCTCTATTTAATCACGGGATCTGGGTCAGGAACCTTTATTTATATTTATGGAGTATTTCCCTCCATAAAAAAAAAAGAATTCCCATGATGTATTCCAAAGTGTCAATCACAATGTATTTAACACCGTCCGATAAAGGGTAGGGCGTGAGGGTGGTTGGGGGCCCAAATTTGGAAGTGGACTGTAGTTGATTTGACATTTCACATCAGGCCTTGATAAAGAGAGATTGGCATTCCCGTGCGTGTGCTGTATTCAATTGCGACATTTCTTTTTCTAAAGTTGTTGATTTTGTTTATATTTTGAAAGAAAATAGTTTTTAAATACTCTCTATGAGTTGAATTATGAATCAAGAGTTAATCAGTAATTATTAAATTTTTATAAATATTTAATATTTTCTTAATCATATATAAAGTATTATTTATGAATAATTATGATGTATGGGTCGTGTAAAATATTTTATATATAACAATTATTTTAATAAAAAAATATTGAATAATATTTTAAAAAAATTAAATAGTACATAACATTTGAACCAGAATTATTTAATTTTAAATTTCTTAAGACATCTTTATGTTACCATTTTCTTTTTAGTTATATGATGCTAGATTTATATTTATTAAATTGACTTATAAAAATTAGTATGATTCAAAATTATGCAAGGTATGTCTTTATCTCCAAAGTAATTTTGTGAGTTATATTTAATTAATTAATTTTAGTTGATGCAATAATTTTTCAATAAGTGCATTTTTAAAAAAAATTTGCCTGTTTGAATTGGTGTTGAAAATCATGGAATCACGGTGAGTTAATACGTCTATTCAAAATCTATCTTTTGTAATTTTTAAAAATCATAATAAAATATTAATTATTAGTTGGTCTAGTGTAATTAGGGTTGAATTTGATAGAGAAGACAACAATTTGATTCTACAAATGTGTTTGATAGTTGAAAAGCTAAATCAAACAGACCATTTATTTGTTTTACCAAAGGTTTTTGTCTATAGTGGCTTGCAGTTTAAGAGAAGTATGAATCTGCTTTCTGTCATTCATCAATTTTAGCTAACATAGTGTAAATCTTATTTGAAGAGTTAAAAATGTTCTCTTATTATCAATTTTTACCCTATAATGTTGACATTTATATGAATCTTTTCATTTTTGTAAGACCTACTTCTAAAGCGTAAAATTTGTATCGATTTTACCAAATAAAATTAGAAATATTAGAGTAAGAGTTAAGAAAAATCTATTTACTACCTAGGTTGGATTAATTAGATTTCGGTTGCTATGATACCTCCTTAAAAAAAAAGGAACATTGAATTAGATTTTGTTTCAACTTTAGGAAGTCTTAAATAATTAGGTTGGATTAACACATTTTACTAAAAGAGTACAACTTTATGAAGTCTTTACGAACTATTAAAATTAGAGTTATTAAAAAAATTATAAACTGAATTGAACTGTTAAATAAAATTGAATTGAGGTTAAAATAATTTGACTCTTATGTTTAATTAGTGAATAAAAAAATATTACACAAATAATTTAAAATTGAACTAAAATTAAAATCGAATAAAAAAGTACTAAAAATAACTTTTAATTTTTTTTTTGAAAAATAGTAAATCTAGTTCGACTTTTTAATAAATGGTTCACTTCGGAAAAAAATATCTTCTAACAGTTCGATATAGTTAGAATTTTGAAAGTATACCAAACCAATAATTTTAGTTCGGTCCAGTTCTAAGTAAATTAGAACGGTTTAATTCAGTTTGAATAAATTTTTATTATGATTTAATTTGATTCAATATGATTTTCTATCTAAACCATACATAAACAACCCTAATTAACACATTTTACTAAAGTATATTTAGTCCTCAATTCCTTTAATTTAATTTAATATTTTGTTTTAATTATTTAATTAAAAAACGTTATAGGTTAGAATTTAACTTCATTTTGATTATCTTATTTAGTCTCTTCCGTTAATTTTTAGTAAAAAATAATATACTCTGTGGATTTACAACAAAACTCAAAGTCTAAATATGATTAAATATTTATATTATAGAATATGGTTTCTACTTAAGTACGTACCATAAAGATAGTCACAATAAGACTATATTAAATAGAAATTCTATTTTATAATATAAATGTTAAATCACATTTAAGTCTTGAATTTTGTCGTACATTCACGATACTAAAATTTAACGTAATTTTGTCAGAAATTATCAGAAAGAACTAAATAAAATAACAAAAGTGAAGATAAGAGATTAATAAAACTAAAAGTAAAATATTAAATTAAGTTAAAAGCATAAAACATGTATTAAGCTTTTAATAAAAGAGTAATGCAATTTATTCTCTTTCCTAAAAAGAATAACCGCTCATTATATTTGAGATTTTAGGGGAGGCTTCACTACTGAATTGTACATATATGCAGCCACATAAATAAATTTGACACCACGTAATTTTTGTTTGAGAGTTTGAAGGAAAGAAGAAAATTTCAAAAAACTAAAGAAGGAATGAAGTTGAAAGAATTAAGGAATTCAATAATGAATTTTTTAAGGTGCTAATATTTTTTTATAACACATAATTTCTTTATTTTGAGAAGAATTAAAAAATTATATTGAAGAAAGATTTTAAAAGAGTTAGATAATCCGTATAATTGGTAATCTAAATAAAAAATATAATAAAATAATAATTTATTCATTTATCATTATATATAAAAACTCTAATTTAAAAATAGTTAAAGATTTATTTGTTTTCCTTTTTAATCATCTCTTAGAAAAACTCTTATTTTCCTTCCACTTCAAATCTTCAAACAAAATATAATACATTAGATATATTGGTCTTCTCAATAGTAAAATATCCAAAGTCATCACTTTCTTTCTAGTGTGAGACTTTAACTTATATTTGAGAAATTATAACTTCTCTCTCAAGTATGAAAGATATTATGTCTCTTTGGACATATTTATTTCAGCTTTAAAAAAATAAATTTTATCTTTTATATACTATAATATAAATATATATTATTAAAATCTAAAACATAGTTAAAATCACTTTTTTTTTAAAAGTTATATTTTAAAAATAATTTTTATAAAAATTTATTTGAAATAACTTTAAATTTAAGTTTTTTAAAAATTTAATATTTAAAAAAAAAAGATTTCGATAAAAAAATGAAATATCTAAAATAATATTTTAAAAATAATTATTCAAACTAAATTTTCATTTAAAACTTTTATGAAAAAAAATTTCGTAAATTTATTTTACACGAAATTATATAATACTATAAAAATCATATTTAAAAAAAAAAAAACCAAAATAAACGGACCAAATATCCAACACTAAAATTTCTTTTAGTCTCCACAAAGTCGAACCGAACTCTCATATCACTTACTTGAAGGAACTATTTGATTGAATCAACATATTGAACTAAAACAACCACATATATAGGTTTAACACTATATCTTCACTCAAAATATCAAAATATATAAACCTTTAGTTATAAATTGCTCAACTTCAATTTTTTTCATCTAATATTTATTTTAACTCACAATAACCCTTCACAATTTGGTTTAATTTTGAGCTAAACACTAATATATTATTGTATTTTTTATATGGACCATTGTGTAAACTATATATATATATATATATATATATATATATATATATATATATATATATATATATATATATATATATATATATATATATATATATATATATATATATATATATATATATATATATATATATATATATATATATATATATATATATATATATATATATATATATATATATATATATATATATATATATATATATATATATATATATATATATTCAATTATGTGGTTTAAAACTAAATAAAAAATATGGTAAAACAATGAGATAAAATAACACATCTAAAATTAAAATTAATTAACAATACGAGAAAGTTGAATAAATATTTAAAAAATATATTTTAATAAAATAAATTGTTGGTCCATGGTTCAATTCATGGGGCATTTATTTATATCAGTCTTGGATATAAATCATCAATTTAAATAAATGAAGTTAATGTTAGTGCACAAAAATCAATGATGAACAAAAAGAATATATTTAAGAGGTAGAGAGAATGACTGTTGTAAAAGCTGCAAGAGAAATAAAATGTTGTTCTTATTATGACATTTACAACTGGTCTATTTATACACAAAAAGGAATGTCACATAGGTCTTAATAGAATAGAATTAATAACTAAGTTATCAAAAACAATTAGAAATACTAAAATATCATTTAATACCATCTCTTAATTTAGAATTTCTAATTAAAATTAACTACACTAATTTCATTCCTTAAGCGAAGATTGATCCGTCTTGATTGTCTTTGTCATAATATCTGTCAGCTGCTTCTGTGTGCTAAAGTGCACAACATTTAGTACTCTATTTTGGATTTGACTTCTGAGAAAATGATATTTTGTCTCAATATGTTTGCTTCTCTCATATAGTACTGGGTTCTTGATAAGATTGATTGCAAATTTGTTATCATTCACCAGTTTCAGAGGCTTATCTACATTGATCTTCAGATCCTGCAATAGATTTAGAAGCCACACAGCTTGACATGTAACTATAACACCTGCAATATACTCAGCTTCACATGTTGATAGAGCAACAACAAATTGCTTCTTGGAACACCAAGAAATAGAACCTCCCAGAAATTTAAACAACTATCCAAAAGTACTTCTCCTATCAACTCTATCTCCACACTAATCAGAATCATAGTAACTCGTCAACTCTGAATCTATTTTTCTAGAAGAGAATAATATTCTAAATTTCAGAGTTCCCTTGATATACCTCAGAATTCTGATAGCAACTTGATAATGGGAGCACTTAGGTTTACTCACGAACTTATTTACCATTCCAACTGCATAACAAATATCAGATCTGGTATTACACAAATACCTTAGAGAACCAACCAACTGTTTGAAGGTTGTAGCATTCACATCTTCACCATCAGAGTCATAATCCAATTTATGATTGGTTTATGATGGTGTGACAATAGCTTTACATTTTTGTAGCTTAAACCTCTTCAGAAGCTCAAGTTTATACTTCAGCTGATGCAAAATGATACTCTTCTCTGAGTACAAAATCTCCATCAGTAGAAAATATACCATATTTCCCAGATCAGTCATCTCAAATTCATTCATCAACATCTCCTTGAATGCCTCCTGAGTGCTACCAGAATCATATAGAAATATGTCATCAACATAAAGACATACCAGAATCATATTGCCTCCAGAATGCTGCACATAAACTTCATATTCCATCTAGCACTTTTGAAACCATTGCTTCTTGAAAAATGAATCAATCTTCAAATTCCAAGCTCTGGACGCTTGCTTCAATCCATACGGAGTTTTATGTAACTTTTACACCATCCCTTTCTGATTCTTTTTCAAGAAACCAAGAGGTTGTGACACATATACCTCTTCTTGTAACAGACCGTTCAGAAATGCAGACTTCACATCCAGATGCATCAGAGGGAAATTTTTATTTGCAGCTAAAGCAATCATCAATCTGATTGTTTCATGTCTTGCTACAGGCGCAGACACCTCAAAGTAATTTAGCACAGGTTTCTGAAGAAAACCTCTAGCCACTAGCCTCGCTTTGTGCTTGCCAATTGATCCATCTAGCTTATATTTGACCTTGAAAATCTATCTGACGCTGATGGCTTTCTTCTTATCTGGAAGCTTAGTCAGCTTTCAAGTCTTCTTTCTATAGCCTCAAGTTCTTATTTCATGGCATTCAACCATACTTTCTTCTTGAGAGTTTCTTCAATACTCACAGTTCAGAGTCTACTAACATGGCACACTGAACAATTTCTCCTTCTGAATCTACTTCAGTGTCTTGCGACATTTCAAACTCTGCAAACCTTCTTGGTATTTGTCTAATTCTTTGTGGCATCTGAACTTGTTCATAAACTCTTTCTGGTTCTGGAACAATATTAGATACTTAACCACCTTCAGAATCATGACCTTCATCAGAGATTGGACTACCTTCAGAAGCTCCTCCTTCAGAAGGTCCACCTTTAAAGACATGACTTTCATCAGAAACATGATCATCTTCAGAAGCTTGTCCTCCAGAACCTACGTCTTTAGAGTTTTCCCTTCCAGAAGCATGACCACCACCAGATTCTGGATCATCATCAAAATCTAGATTAGAATCAGATTCACCATCTGACTCATCTTCAGAGTTTCCAGAATCATCTTTTGGCTCTGACTCTTCTTCAGAACTTTCAAGTTCTGACTCATTTTCAGAAATAGATTGAGACTTGCTCCAATCCCATACTTCTGATTCTTTTACAATAAGGTCTCTACTAATTTAAACATTATTCGTTTCTGGACAATAAAGTTTGTATGCACTTGTATTATGGTACCTCACCGAAATCATTACTTTGCTTTTATCATTCATCTTTTTTTCTTCTAGCTTCTGGAACGTGTTTGTAACATACAAAACCAAACACCTTCAGATGACTAACACCTTGCTTGTATCCAATCCATTTTTCTAAAGCAACAGTTTCCTTCAGCTTCTTCGTTGGACACCTGTTGAGCACATACACAGAAGCACCTACAATTTCTCTCCACAAGTTATGAGGTAGCTTCTTCTCTTTCGGCATGCTTCTGGTCATATCAAGCAAAGTACGATTTCTTCTTTCAGCAAGACCATTGTATTGAGGAGTATAAGGAGCATTAACATCATGCTCAATTTCATTCTCATCACATAACTTCTAGAACTCTGTAGAATTTATACTCACCTCCACCATCCGTTCTGAGAATCTTCAGCTTCTGACCACTTTGTTTCTCAACCTTCACCTTGAACTTCTGGAACTCGGTAAACACCTCTTGTTTAAACTTGATGAGTGTTACCCACGTCATTCTTGTAAACTCATCCACAAAAGTCACAAAATATCTATTTCCTCCAAGTAAAGGTTCTGGAAATGGTCCACACACGTCAGAATGCACTACTCCCAAAACATGTTTTGCTCTTAGGGCTACTTCTGATACAAATGGAAATCTAGGTTGCTTGACTTTCATGCATACCTCACATGACTTCTCAGGCTTCACAATCTTTGGAATTCCACGCATGAGCTTCTTTGAGCTCAGATGCCCTAAACTTTTGTAGTTCAGATACCCCAACCTCTTGTGCAACAACTTACTATAACCTTCAGCGCCTTCTGCACTAAAACACTCTATTTCAGATGTTTCTACATTCACCTTGAATGTTCTGTTGCTTTCCTGCTCAGATTGCATAATCAGCTTCTGACTGGAATTATACAACTTCAAGAGATTGTCCTTCATAGTAACTGAGAAACCTTTTTCAATGAGCTGACCCACACTCATCAGATTCCTCTTAATTTCAGGAACATAACAAACATTCTTGATCAGAATGGTCTTTCCATTATTCACTCTAACTTTGACATTTCCCATACCTTCTTCATTAAGGTGTTTATCATCAGCACATCTGATTTTTTCCTCCTTCTGGAGTCAAAATCTATCAGCCATTGTTTGTTTCCAGTCAAGTGATTTGAATAGTCAGTGTCCATATATCACCAGTCTGCCAAACACTTTCCATCAGACTCAGAAGCCATCAATAACACAAGTTCATCATCAAAATCTCCTCTGGCTATATTTGCTTCTTCTGATTTTCTTTCCTTATTTGACCAACAATCTTTAGCAAAATGGCCAAACTGCTTACAACAGTAACATTGAACCTTCTTTTTGTCAAATTTCTCATTACCCTTCTGATGTTTCTTCTCATCAGAAGTAGAAGTTTCTGACTTCTGGAATCTATCACCACGTCTATTCTTGGTTTCTGACCAAGAATGCTTCTGGTCCTTCTTGACAAAAGAAGTCTTCAGAGCTTACTCAACTTCCCTCTTAGAAGTTCTTTCAGTCAGACGCAACTCATGCGCCTCTAGACTGCTTTGCAACTATTCTATTCTCATGGTTTCCAAATCTTTAGAATGTTCAATTGCTCCAACAATGTAATCAAATTGAGGAATAAGTGACTTCAATATCTTCTCAATGATTACTTGTTCAGAAATGGTTTCTCCATAAGCCTTCATCTCATTAGTGATCAGAATCACTCTAGAGATGTACTCAGAAACCTTCTCATTGTTCTTCATGTTGAGATTCTCATATTGCTTTTGCAGTGACTGAAACTTTACCTTCTTCACTGATGCGTCACCACCATAGCATCTGACCAGTGTGTCTTATGCCTCCTTCGCCGTCGTCGAATCAACAATCTTCTCAAACACATTCACATTCACACACTAATGGATGTAGAACAACGCCTTCTGATCTTTCTTCCTCTTGTCTCTCTGTTCATTTCTCTCTTTTTCCATCGCATCAGCTGCAACCAGAACATAGCCATTGGTAACAAGCTCAAGCGCGTCCTAAGCACCAAATAGCACGCACATTTGAATCATCCATTTGTTTCAGTTCTTGCCATCAAAAATAGGAAGTTTGGTACTCAGATTACCTTTTTCGTTCATCCTTAACCTTGTACAACTCACTCAGATCTCACAAGCACAGTATTTCTCAACCCCACATAATCAGAAAAGTGTGATTCTGTTACAATTTTGTTCAAAGATTCAACACGAATCCATAACTAAAATTAATCGCACAAATGCCTCACGTTTCACTCGTGTTTCCCTATGGATCAGAACCGGAGCTCTAGATACCAATTGTTAGTGCACAAGAGTCAATGATAAATAAAAGGAATATATTTAAGAGGTAGAGAGAATGACGGCTGTAAAAGCTGCAAGAAGAATAAATGTTGTTGTTATTAGGATATTTACAACTCGTCTATTTATACATACAAAAGACACATAGACCTTAATAGAGTAGACTTAATAACTAAGTTATAAAAGATAATTAGAAATATTAAAATTAAATATAAAACTGAAGTTTTTGTTTTGAAGACGGATAAATTTTAAATATGTTGGGAAATCATAATTCCAAATGATATGTACTATTCAAAAAATAATAAAAATTATTAATTAAGGTGACATAACTATCAATTTTATGATTTTTGTTGTGGAGAAGATTTGAACTTCATCTTTCAAAATTATAAAGTCAAATGCTTACTGATGAATTATTATCTCATAGACAATATGTTAGATAATCATACAATGTGATGATAGATATTGACGTATCTTTTGCACTTTGCAAGCTATATCTTCAGCATCCATTATTTTTTTTTAATTATTGCCTTCTCTCATATGAACAGCAAGTTACCTCAAGACCCATGATTTCTTGCGGCCACTAGAGCAGGTAGAAACAAAATCCAGTGCCAAAGAAGAAGCCACAGATGAAATCTCATCGGCTGTTCAGAAGCAACCGCCTTTACCCACACCAGCTTCAGTTGAGCACCTCTTACCTGGAGGAATTGGGACTTACACTATTAGCCACATTAATTCCTACGTCAATAATACTCAAAGGGTTCCAAAGCCAGAAGCATCACTTTTCACTGTGCATCAAGCAACTAGTGCTGATAGAAACGATGACTCTAACTGTAGTTCACATACTTCAAGCGGTTTCACATTGTGGGAAGAGTCTGAGATTAAAAAGGGAAAGACAGAAAAGGAGAATAATGTCGGAGAGAAACCCATTATAGGAGGTAACCATGAGATACTATCTTTCTTTTTTGTCTTTCTTTAATATAAAAACGGTTATCGGTATTGACACATTTCAAAACCATAGGAGGTATTCAAGGATAAAATGAATACTACTACTAATAATAAAATATGGAATGCCTAGTATATTTGGGACGGTAACAAAATTTGACAGTGCATTATTCAGTGGCAGATTCTGCTGCGAAGCTGGGACCGTGGAGAATGACTGAGCGGGTGTCTCAATCCTTTTCTAACAATCGTCATGGCAGCTTCAACTCTCACTCTTCATCTCAGTTAGTCATATTACTCTTTACCTTCGCCTAGATGCTTATGCACTTCGTTTTTTATTTTTTAAAATTAGAGTAGTTGCCTTTTAAGATGATATTCATATACTTTTATGTTTATGCTAAACTTTTGGACTTGATGCAACAGAACAACTGGACAGAAGAACCAGAGTTTTATGGAAATGATGAAATCTGCACAGGATTGTGCCCAGGATGATGAGCTAGAAAATGAAGGAACGTTTTTTCTCAAGAGAGAAACCTTGGATACTCAAAGAGGTAAGTTCTAATATCTCCTTGTTGAGAAAAGAAGTAGCATGCACCTTCCTCTCAAACAAACTTTAATTTCTTGCCTTCAATTTTAGTGGTTATAATTTTCTTTATTTTAGTATTGAATTCATACTTCATGGTTGAAGTTCCTCTTTTGTGAGTGGTTTTAATAGTCTGCTTTGGTACTTTAATTTAGAAAACAAATGCCATAGAAATCCGTTGTCATGTTTAAATATAAAGAGGGAGTAAGGATGAAATTTCTAATGCCACTACCATAACCAGTTATTTACTCAAAATATCTGTATTTATTTACTTTTGAAGTCACCGACTGAAATTTTCTGACGAGATTAACGTTAGTGATTATTTGCAGGAGAACTGAGGGTGAAAGTCGATGGGAAGAGTAATGATCAAAAGCCAAACACCCCGAGATCAAAACATTCTGCAACAGAGCAGAGGAGAAGAAGCAAAATTAATGACAGGCAAGTCTTACTTACAAGGCTGATGCAAAATTTTCTGGATTTTACAAAAGATACTTGTATATGGAGATGGAGGAGGTGTAAAAAAGAACTTTCCATTTCTTAGTAATGAAACAGTTCTAAATTAACATTTCCGTACTATTGGGATTAGTGTAACTGGTAGGTCCTATAAGTGATAGTTTCATTCTATTTTAGTCATAAAAAATTGTACCCAAAAAAATGGCTTTTAGGAAAAGTAAAAACTACTCCTTCTGTTTTAAAATGAGTGTCGTTTTAGAGAAAAAAAATTGTTTTAAAATGAATGTCATTCTCACTTTTCAATGTAATAATAATTGTTATTTTTTCAATTGTATTCTTTAATTATTAGTCTGTACACTACTAATATATTAATAAGGCTAATTTAGTAAAAGTGCAATAACTTATGACAACATTATTGTATCCTAGGCAAAAATCTTAAACGACCCTCATTTTGAAAACGGAGAGAGTATCAATGATACCAATTAGGTGGGCTGTATTATATTTATGATTGGTCTGTTATCAAATATCATTGTCGGCCACCCTTTTACTGGTGCCGGTATTGTCTGAGTTGGTGAGTGCTCTGTATAAGCTGTTACAGGGCACTGCACTTTTATTATTGCCCGGTTTTATATGGGTGGGACAATTTAAATAGTTCATGAACCAGATCTTATATATTGCTCATAACTATGTGATTGAACAATTGAATCAATCATGTAGATTTCAGATGTTGCGACAGCTTATTCCACACAGTGATCAAAAGAGGGACAAAGCATCTTTTCTGTTAGAGGTAAATTCATATGGATTAGATAAATTTTGTTTTCTAGGTTTGTTTAGATGTTTTATTGCTCATTAATGTTCAATCTGAATTATTTGTAGGTCATTGAGTATATTCACTTTTTACAAGAGAAGGTACACAAGTATGAAGGTTCGTTCCAAGGTTGGAATAACGAGCCAGAAAAATTGATGCCATGGGTAAATACAACACTTGGCTATCCTTAGCTGTGAATTATCTAAAATAAATTAATTAATTTGTTAACATATAGCCTAATTTGTAAGTGGATATAAATTTAGGAGTAATAACCTATTTGCCTAAATAACTGATTTACATTTTTCAATTCAAAGCAGAGAAATAATGATAGGCCAGCAGAAAGTTTTCAACCTCGCGGCACAAATAGTGGGTCTAATCCATCTCCAACATTGCTGTTTGCTTCAAAGATCGAGGAGAAAATACCCATCTCCCCAACAATTCCTGCCTCTACTCCTAATGTAGAATCTGGCTTGAGCACAGCAGCTGCCTTCAAGACAATTGATCATCAGTCTGGAATAATGAATAAGACTTTTCAAGTTCCTACTTCTTCCCAACCAAATATCTTTCCTTCAACCCAAACCAGTGGTTCAGGTGGAGCTGTGTCTCAACTCAGACATAGATTAGCATCTGATGCAGAGAACATCATTTATCAACCTTCAGTAGAAACTCAGACTATGACTTCTACCAATGAAAAGCTGAAAGAGAAAGAGCTGACTATTGAAGGAGGCGCCATTAGTATATCAAGTGTGTACTCACAAGGGTGAGTGCTACTGCTTATCTTATACTATAATTAGAAGACAATTTATTTTGAAAAGTGATTCCTAGTAGTGTTTTGATTTTTATATAACGATTTTAATGTGCTATATTTGGACAGGTTGTTGGATACACTTACACACGCATTGCAGAGTTCGGGAGTGGATTTGTCACAAGCTAGCATTTCAGTGCAAATTGAACTTGGCAAGCAAGCAAAAATCACACCAAACGGACAATTATCAATGTGTGTTTCTAAGGTATATTGGCTTTAATTTCCCTATTACACTAAAGCTCCATCCACATTGTGTAGCCTATGATAGTCTTATCTAATCTTTCAATCATTTTCCCCTAGGATGACGAAGATCCTTCAAAAAATCAAAGGAAGATACGTTCTAGAGTCGCCGGCTCTGAGAAATCTGATCAAGCAGTAAAGAAGCTAAAGACTTGCAGAAGTTAATTCAATTGTTACATTCATTCTTTCCTTATAATAATTTTATCAATTATTTAAGGTAACTTTTTAAAATTAATTTTTGGAAGGGGTATTTATGTCCTGTGCTGGATTATTGTTATCTAGCAAGGACAAGATTGACTGTACATGTAGTGTCTTAGTTTGTTGGGATCTTTAGACTCCCCCAACAAAATAATATGCATCATTTTAGTTTCTAAATATATAATTATAGAGGCTTCCACACTAATACAACTTGTTTTTGATTCAAGGCTTCCCTTGTTGTAAAGTTAGTAAACTTTGGTCTTTTATCTGCTGCAGATTTTTTAACATTGATTTTGGTGGTCTTGAGTATTATGTTTGAATTAGCCCCTTCCATATACTTCACTATTTATGGTCTCACCTTCTTTGTGATGGCTAATAAAAATTGTTCCTATCAGATACCTTTCATGATTTATTTACTTAACCTTTTCTTGGATTGGCTCTTATATTTCATGTTTATTGTGTCCAATATAATTTTCATAGTTCTATAAACACTATAGTTTTATAAATACTACAAGAAAAATTGTCCCTTGCAACGTGATAAACATGTGGTAAAAAATGGACTGTTGCGATGTATTCCTCTAAATGCTGTGCATAAATAAATATTTTTAAACTCTCCAAATCCAAAAGGTATAATGTCATGGATAGGGGTGTACATGAGTTGGGTAAATCCAATAAACCCAGTAAAATTCATCCAAAAAAGTGGGTTGGGTCGGGTTATTGGGTGATACGGTTTTCAAAAATGAAAATCCATTCAAAATAATTGGATTATGGGTAAATTCACATCCAACCCACAAAACCCATGAGTTATTGAGTGACTACTTTTTGGTTCTTTTTTGTAATTTAATAAGTGATGACTTTGATGTTTTTAATCTTGGTTGCTTCAATTTTAACCTTTTGAACATCTTTTATTTTGTAAGTAATGCTTTTAACTTATTTAGGACGTCACACTTTGATTATTTTGATGCTAGTTCTTGTAAGTTGCAAGTATTTTATACAATTCTAACAATTATTGTAATGTAACTTTGGTTTTTACAAATATGTTTATGATGAATTTTATCGTGCATTTAGACATTTAATGACTAAAAAAATAGTGGTAATATATTAAGCTATTTATTAAGAAAAATTGTGACACGTCATTAATAATTATATAAGGAGGAAAAAAATTGGGTAACCCACTACCCAACCCAATCTAACCCACAAATTTGTGGTTTTACTCAAACCGATCGAATGATATCGTGGGTGGTTATTTTACCTTACTCAAACGGGTGTACCATGTACGGGTTGGGTTATGGTTTTGACTAAATTCAACCCAAACTGACTCATGTACACCTCTAGTCACGGAATCATCACAAGTAGTAAAGACAAAAGAGTTTCATGTAGACGTAGTTTCTACTTAGGTAATGTGAGATTTAAGAAAAGGTAAAAGCGAGAGTTTAAAGATTTTGGCATACCATCTGAATTTTATCTCTCTGAGCAATGATCAGTCGCTTTAATCTAAAGCATATTTGATACATCAACTCCCTATCAATTAATTAACTAGTTGGTATTTTGATCGAAATCAATACACTATTTATATAAAAACCTTGTACTCAAAGCGATCTAGTTACTATTTCCTATTGGAATATGTAAGGTAGAAGATGACTACCGCGGTTGTAAGTATGAGTGTAAAAAGGCCTAAGTGTGTGTTATACGGTGGGAGAACTGACTTAGAATATTTTGCGTTTTATCGCAATTGTTGCAAATAGCAAGAGTCGCCACCGACTTTTCTTTTATCCAATAAGGAAAGGCTGAAAAGAACAGGAAAGACCTTTGATATTATTTTCTTGAGTTCGGGGGGTAGATTATGAAAAAGGAAGGTATTAGCACCCTTTTCATCCATAGTTATCTATGGACTCTTAGTTGCTTGCTAGATCTTTGCTTTTGTTTGAAAGTGTGTTTTGTGGTGGATTTTTGAAAGTATTTTCGAAAAGCGCATTCGTTTAGGCAAACTTTGTAATGATTCTCGTCTTTATAAGAATGCATACAAAGTGTTGGACTTTTGAAAATATTTCATAGAAAGTGTTGGTGCATTTGAAAAGGTGTTTGTGTTTGAAGATGAGCAAGCAACTAAGAACGTTTCTACTTACTCAAAAAGTCTTTGTTCTTTTCCTCCTTTGATATTGCTATCTTACTATTAATTGGTAAGAAGCCTTATCTTTGGATGTAAAGGGACGGACATGGGTCATCGTATAGTCATGATAACAATGTTGTGAGATATCTTAGCATTTCTTTTGAGGGACTAAGATCATTTGTAAGACAGTATTCGAAGCGTCATCGAGGGACTATGATCTTGTATTTTTTATTATTTTTGCTAAGACATCTCACATGCATAACATGACTATTTTTCATAAGGCAACAAGTGAAGTTAACCCTAGAGGTGCATGTGTGCAAAGTGTGTTTGATTGCATGCATTTTTGTCTTTTGATCAGGGTGGTCTATTTGTTGATTTTATCTTGTCATACACCCTAATTGCTAATATTTTGTATAAAGTAAAAAGTGAAGAAAGATAAAAATCCTACGCTATTAAAACCATATTGAATGACATGGAAATGTAAAGGCAAAAGTAAGGTAAAAGAAGAAAAATGGGTCTTTCGATTTAAGGCAGCAAACCCTTCGATTCTGCACTTTCTGGCTCTCTTCAATCTGGCCTGAAAAGGGGTGAAGACATGACTTTTTATTAGGGCCTAGAGGCTAGCATGTTGTGTCTTTTGATTGGGGTCTGGAGGCTAGCATGTTGTGCCTTTCGTTTGGGGCCTGGAGGCCAGCATGTTGTGCCTTCTGGCTGCCTCTTTCGTTTGGCCTGAAGGTTAGTATGGAAGCCAGAGGCTTCGTTTCTAACTTTCTGTCTCCTGTTTCTTTCATTTGAGTTTGAATAGCAACATGGCCCAAGGCCATGCCAACATCACCTTAAGGCTAGATTAGTGCTTAAATCATGTCTAAATATACAAAGAGCAAAAACCAAGAAGGATGTTAACCATGAAACATATTAAAAGGATGAAAACGAAAAGAAGAGCAATAATATGTACATGTTTGAAACGAAAAAGAACTATATTTACATGTTATGCAAGAAATGAAGAGTTCAAGGTTTAGAACAACTTACCTTGCTGGAGGCTGGAGTGTGTGCTGGACCTTCAAGTGGTTGAACTAGATGTTCTTGGATTCGAAGGAAAGAAACGGGTGTGGTGTTCTTTTGACTAGATTCGAAGGTCAGAAGGTGTGAGGGTGGTGTTTGTTATTTCTGGATTCGAAGGAGAAGAACAGGTGTAGTATTCTTTCTACTGGATTCGAAAGAAAAATAAAGTATGGGGATTGTTTCAGATTCGAAAGAGAAAAAGAAACAAGTGTTGTGTTTCTTTAGATTATGGGTTTGAGAGTATATTTAGTGTTTGAGAATCTTGAGAGTTTGAGAGTTTTTTGAAGGTTCTTCCCACACAGCCAAAATCTGCCAACGTTTTCTCTTGTTGCCTCCCCCCCATCGTCTCCATCCCTCTTTGATGTGAAAATGAACTCTCTATTTATAGAGAATTTTTTTTGGAATGAGCAGCTTTGTGAAAGAATAAAATATAGTTCCTCTTAAAGGCCAACATTTACTTTGTCAACTTTTTATAATCCCAAGATAAAAGTAACAAAATCAATAGTTTAGATGGGTGGCTCCTAGTTTATAGGGGAAAAATATGCAGAAGAGACAGGCGCAAGGCTCAAAAACTTTCTAAAAAGGTAGTGATGTCATCAAGAGCAAGTTGGCTTGAAGAACAATTTAATATGGAGTGAGGCACAAGTTGGAGGCATATGTAGCCTGACCTATGGACAACTTGGCCCTTTGAATTGAATCCTTCATTTTTCCATAACCTTCGACCATACTCAACAAAGCAACATTCGTTTCCACCAGTTGTGTGTCCTTCGAATGGACCAACTGCGTGTTCTTTGAATGTCCATCTTCAGCCGAATATGCCACTTTGAGTCCTCTTGCTTTTGATCACTTAGGCCCAAACCTTCGACAAACTCCAAAGTAAGCCAAAAGAATTATTCCCCAACTGTAGCAAGTCCTTTGAATGGGCCACCAAGTTGTGTGTCATAATGCAGTACTATGGTGTATTGAAGGGTTCGCAGATGGATTCGAAGGTGACATGAAGGCGCATTCGAAGCAAACATGAATATGAAATTGAAAGTTCCAGGAAGGTAGCCATTCATCCAATCAAAAACTTATGAATCCAAGGCAAACAGGTGAGGGGTCAATGGTGCAATCGAAGGACACTTTTCAGAAAGTTATTGCCTTCTGAATCGAAGGAAGCTTTCAGAAGATTATTGACTTTCTGAATCGAAGAAAACCAAAAGGAGGCCTTTACTTCCTGAATTGAAGGACGCTGTTTCAAAGGGAAACAAAACTCAGTTGAAGCTTGTTTGAAGATCATTTCCTTCTGAATCGAAGGAAGCTTTAAGGAAGTCTTATTCCAATCGATGCAGTCTTGAAAGAGACTAAAGTCCAATCGAAGCAAGGGAAATCTAAGAAAACTTATTTTTCTCCAATTTTGTTGAAAAGATTATTTTTATCTGTTTTTCCCTTTTTAGCAGTTTCCTCCAATTGCACTTGTGCAAGCTTGAACTTTGATAATCCTTGTAAGAAATTCCTTGAGAAATGAGAGGGAAAATTTTGGAGTACAACATCTGCCCTTGTTCAATCTTCTTAAACCTGAAGAGCAAGTATGGCACGTTGTTGTTCGTAGCTTGAAGGTATAAGATGATTGAACACTAGAGTGCCTAGAAATTTGCACTCGCGTGAAATAGCACTGATAGTTGATAATGTAGGGAATGGGCTTACATATGCCATTTGGAGAGATGATGGAGAGTCGTCGGAGATGGGCTTAAGGATGCCATCTAGAGTGATTGTTGGCAGAAATTAGACTAAGTCTAAATTTGACTTCAACTGG